GGACACAAAACACAAGGACCAACAAACACAAGACACAAACAAACATCAAGAACACAACACAAGACACACACTACAACACAAAACACTACAACACCAAAAACACTACAACACAAAACAAACAACGCAAGCACAACAAACCAAGACACAACACAAGACAACAACATACAACACAAAAGGAACAAACACAAGGTACAAAAACACTACAACACACGACACAACACTACAACACAGAACACTACAACACAGAACACTAAACACAAACACTACAACAAAGACACAAACAAACACAAGGACACAACAACTACAACACAAAACACTACAAACACAAGGACACCAACACCAACGACACAACACTACAACACAAAACTCATACAACAAAAGGACTACAACACAAGGACACAACAAACCACAAGACACAACACTACAACAACAAAAAACACTACAAACACAAAACACTACAAACACAAAACACCACAACGCAAGAAACAACAACACAAGACACAAAACACTACAACACAAGCACAACCCCAAACCCAAGAAAGGGGAAAACACAACAACACTACAACACAAGACACAACAGTACAACACAAGACACAACAACACAAGACACAAAACACAAGACACAACCAGCACATGACACATCAACACAAGACACAAACTACAAACACAAAACCACTACAACACAAGACAAAAAACAAGACACAACACTACAACCCAAAACACTACAACACAAGGACACAACAACACAAGACACAAACAACACAATGACCACAAAACACTACACACCAAGACACCACAACACAAGACACAACACTACAACACAAGGACACAACAAACACAAGAACAAACACTAACATCACAAGACAAACACTACAACACAAGACACTACTACACAAGACACAACACTACAACACAAGACACTACAACACAGAACACTACAACACAGCAGAAACACTACAACACAAGACACAAACACACAAGACACAACAACACAACACACACCACTTCAACACAAGACACAACAAACACAAAAGGACAGCCCACTACAACACAAGACACAAACAACACAAGACACAACAACACAAAGACACAACAACACAAGACACAACACTACAGCACATGACACAACACTACAACGCAAACACATAACACAAGGACACAAACAAACACAAGACACAACACTACAACACATAGACACAACAACACAAGGACACAATCAGCACAAGACACAACACTACAACACAAAAACATACAACAACAAGACACAACAACACAAGACACAACATACAACACAAAACACTTACAACAGAAGACACAAAAACAACACAATGACACAACAACACAAGACAAAACAACTCAAGACCAACACAAGAACAACAACAAGACACAACCTAAACACCAAAACACATACAAACACAAGACAAAACAAACACAAGACACAACAACACAGACACAACAACTCAAGACACAACACAAGGGACACAACACTTCAACACCAAAACTACAACACAAAACCAACAACGCAAGACACAACAAACACAAGACACACACTACAACACAAGACCACAACACAAGACAAACAACACTACAACACAAAAGACACAAACAAGACAACAACACTAGAAAACACAACAAGACACAACAACACAAGACCACAACAGCACAGACACAACAACACAAGACACAGTTACTCGCTCCATCTGATCCTCATCCCTCATATCCGACATAGACAAGGATGTCAGCCACAGCTCGTGTTTTCCTTTGCAGACACCCAAATCTGCATGACATGTCTTCCATTGCAGGACACTGCAAAGCTCCAGGCGGACGCAACCTCAAATCTCTTCGTGGGCTGCAGATAAACAATATGATAGTTCAACGATGAGAAATTTCAGAATTACTCAGATATGGTAACATGAGAAATTAAATTCTTCATCAGAGTACAAACAAATTCTGGCCACAAAATAGAGCGAAACACTCCAACGTCAAAAGACCTGGGAGTGATCATGTCGGAGGATCTCACACTTTCAAGGACCATACACATATGTATCAATCGATCTGCTAGAAAAAATGACAGGTGGATAATGAGAACCTTCAAAACTAGGGAGGCCAATCCTTGATGTCATCTTCAGTCACTTGTTCTATCTAGGTGGAAATTTGCTGCACACTAACAGCACCTTTCAAGGCAGGATTGTGAAAATTGCCGACCTAGAAAATGCTTACAGAGAACTTTTCCCAAAAACGAGCGCATAACGGAGATAAAAAAACAACCTCAATTATTGGGAGCGCTTGGGTTTTCCTTAAACCTGTATCCTGGAACGCAGGGAGGGAGAGATAACATGATTATTTACACTGGAAAAATCCTAGAGGGTCTTAGTACCGAACCATGCACACGGAAAATCTCACTCACTACGAAAGCAAAAGACTTGGCAGGACGACTGCACCATCCCCCCAATGAAAAAGCGGGGTGTCACTAGCACGTTATGAGAACCATACAATAAGTGTCAGGGGCCCGAGACTGTTCAACTGCCTCCCAGCACACATAAGGGGGATTACCAACAGACCCCTGGCAGTCTTCAAGCTGGCACTGGACAAGCACCTAAAGTCAGTTCGGATCAGCCGGGCTGTGGCTCGTACGTTGAAGTTTGCGTGCAGCCAGCTGCAAACAGACTGGTTGATCAGGCTCTGATCCACCAGGAGGGCCTGGTCACAGACCGGGCCGCTGGGGCGTTGACCCCCGGAACTCTCTCCAGGTAAACTCCAGGTAAACAACACAAGACACAACAACACAAGACACAACACTACAACACAAGACACAACACTACAACACAAGACACTACAACACAGAACACTACAACACAAGACACAACACTACATACACAAGACACTAAACACAGAACACTACAACACAAGGACACAACACAACAACACAAGAACACAACAACACAAGACACAACAAACAAGAACAACATACAACACAAGACACAACAACACAAGACACAAACCAACACAGAAACACTACAACACAGAACATACAACAACAGAACCATACAAAACAGGACACAACCAACACAAAGACACAGCACTACAACACAAGAACACAAACAAACACAAGGACACAAAACAACTAAACACAAGACACAACAACACAAGACACAACACTAAACACAAGACACAAACACAAGACACAACAACAACACAAGACACAAAACACAAAGACACAACAAAACAAGACACAACAACAAACAAGACACACATACAACACAAGACACAACCTACAACACACCGGAACAACTCAAGGACACAAACCACTACAACACAAGACCAACAACACAAGACACACACTACAACACAAGGGACCACAACAACACAAGACACAACACTACAACGCAAGACACAACAACACAAGGGACACAACAAAACAACAAGACACAAAACACTACAACCACAAGACACAACAGCACAAGACAACAACACTACAACCAACAAGACTACAACAACACAAGACACAACAACAACACAAGACACATAACACTACAACACAAGACCTCAACAACACAAGGACACAAACAACAACACAAGACACACACTACAACACAAGACACCACAACACTGCGAAACATAACACTTACAACACAAGACACAACAACACAAGACACAAACAACTACAACACAAAACACTACAACACAAGACACCAACACAAGCAACTCAACACTACAACACAAGGACACAACAACACAAGACACAACACTACAACACATAAAACACTACAACACCATAGACACAACAACCCACAAGACACAAACAACAAGACACAACACAAGACACAGAACAGCACTACAAAACACAAGACAGTACAACACAAAACATCTACAACACAAGACACAACACTCCAAACACAAGACACCAAACTCAATATACACAAGACACAAACACTTACAACGCAATACACAACATCACCTCACTGCAACACAAGAAACAACAACACCCCAAGAAAGATCTCGGGGTGAGTATAACACCGAGCATGTCCCGGAAGCTCACATCAGCCAGATAATGCTGCAGCAAATGGGCGCCTGGCAAAACCTGAGAACAGCGTTCCGATACCTTAGTAAGGTAATTGTTCAAGACACTGTTTACACGTGTGCATCAGGCCCATACTGGAGTATGCAGCAACCTGTTTGGGAACCCGCCACTTGATCAGGCTCGTCAAGAAATTAGAGAAGTGCAAAGGTTTGCGGACAAGGTTATTCCAGAGCTAAGGGGAATGGTCCTATGAAGAAAGGCTTTAAGAATAAATCGGCCTGACGACATTTGAGAACAGGAGAGTCAGGGGAGACATGGTAACGATATATAAAATACTCCGCGGACTAGACAAGGTGGACAAAGACAGGATGTTCCAGAGATGGGACACAGAAACAAGAGGTCACAATTGTAAGTTGAAGACTCAGATAAGTCAAAGGGATGTTAGGAAGTATTTCTTCAGTCATAGAGTTGTCAGGCCATGGAATAGCCTAGAAAGTGACATAGTGGAGGCGGGAACCATACACAGTTTTAAGACGAGGTTTGATAAAGCTCATGGAGCAGGGAGAGAGGACCCAGTAGCAACCAGTGAAGAGGCGGGGCCAGGAGCCAAGACTCGACCCCTGCAACCACAAATAGGTGAGTACAAGACAGTACACACAAAACACAACACACATTACACACAATACTAACGCACAACAACACAACGCACAGTTATACAAGCCTCAGTGTATTTACACTGAGACGTGTGTGTGTTAGTTCATATACACTAAGTATATTTCAGTATATCCACTGAGAAGTATATATTCACTAACACACCAACCTTCGTGTAGTAGACAGACTTGAAACCTAACACACGAAAGTATTGTATATTTTATAAATTGCAATTCTTGTAGCTCTTGGATGTTTATGAGCACAGTAAACATTATAAATGTTTAATAATGTTTAACAATATTCTTGGTTAACTCTTGACTGGGTTATAATGTTCAACTTTCTTTATTTCAACAGAAATAACAGGTTCGGCTCAACAGGCTTCACCAACGGTGGCTTCAACAGATTCCCCACCAGCACCACCAACCCCTTCAGACAAACTAGCGCTTTCAGGACACCTTTCTCTCCTAGGCCAACCTCAGCTCCTGTATTCTCAAGACCCAGTAGTAGTCTCAGCCACTTCAGCAGTGGTACAAGCAGTGGTAGTCGCTCAGCAGGACCTATCAGCAGCAGCAGCTCTATCCTGCTCGATAGAACAAACTTCAACTCTCTTCATCAGCCTTTCTCTAACAGTATACCAAGCAACAGTGTCTTCAGTAAGGTCACCAGTGGTCCCGGAAAGGTCTCCAGCAACAGAAAGAGCTCTTCAGTGTCACCCTTCAAGAACCTGCCCTCGAGCATCAACTGGCCTGGTGGTAACGGATATTTCTTCAGCATGAGTACCCAGGGAGCTCGACCAACCACTTACTTTATTAGTTTTGATGACGATGATTAGTTGTCAACCTTCCCTTAACTTACCATCATGATGTATCCCTTACCATGATAATGTATGCCTTGCCCTAATAATGTATCCCTTACCTTAGTGTCTCTCTTACCCTGATTATGTATCCCGTACCTTGATGTATCCCTTACCCTGGTGATGTATCCCTTACGCTGAGTGCCCCCAGTCTATCTGCAACACCGAAGGAGACACTGGCTTGAGAAATAGAAAATACTGAACTTAAGTTAAATGAATCATACAGGAGCCAGGAAACACAGAAAGAATTTAAAGCAATAAATGAAAATGAAAAAAATCCAAAACATTTCTTTTCTTATGCCACAACCAGTACTGTGTCCTTGTGACTTTACACAGATGACAGCAAAGAAATGAGAGAGATGCTGAAGTTTTAATACGAGTCAGTATTTACTTTGCTGATAATCAGATTAAAGGTCGACAATCTAATTTTTTATGACTCAAAATTTTACTAATTCCAGAATTTCTGACATAACCCTAACACCACAGGACTTTGAAAAGGCAATAAATGATATGCCCATGCATTATGCCCCAGGCCCAGACTCGTGTAAGTAAGTTTATTCAGGTATACACAAATACAGTTACACAGAATTATCATACATAGCAGCATATGTGTAGAGAACCTAGAATAACCCAAAAAAGTCAGACTGACTTATTTCCATTGGGGTCCTTTTACCTTATTATAATATAAAGGTTATAATATTTTCTTATTATTCTACAATGAAGATAACATCTTATTATCATACTAAAAAGACTATCTACTACACGAGGGTCATTAAGACTATCTACAATACTAGGAATAAGGTAAAATTTACACGTATGTTAGCTAAAAAATAGAAAATCATTTCCCTCCCTTTCTGTAGCTACATTCATCAGACACCTTTTGGCACTCTTCTTGAACTGGTTCATGCTATGACTGGCTTTGACATGTGCAGGTAGTCTGTTCCATTCCTTTATTGCTGTACAATAAAAGGTGTTTGAAGCCTGGCCAATGACTGTGGGTACTACAAAGTTGTGCTCTCTCCCCCTAGTACTATGATTGCTTTGGCTCCCAACCTTGACAAAATTGACACCAAGATATTCTGGGCACTGTTTGTGAGCAATTTTATAAACATGATTTAGCTTCAGTTGTTTTACTCTGTTTTCAACATTCTGCATATCCAACTGCTGTAATTCATCCTGGCCTACATGTTCTCTTGGTCCCTTGCAAGATTTAGATTTTGCCACCGAAGTGGCTAGTTTATTGTGCACCCCATATCCATCCTGTGGACGGTAGCGCGAGAGCATATGGATACACAAAAGGCCTAGGAACTAGGCCCCAAAAGGGTTAACAGGTGTACATATGGGTTTCTATTTATCTACATATCTACAGTTCACTTATCTGTTACAAGCAAATTTAGGAAATTTGCTAGTATATCTGGTATTTTATTTTCATTAATATCTTGACATGTCACATAGGTTATTATACTGTCTCTGTATTCCTCAATAAGTGGACAATTAAGCACATAGTGTTCAAGACAGTGACCATATGCATGATCACATAATTTACATTTAGTTTGAGCATCATGTGTGTGTCTCCCAAACTGCCAGAAGTACTTGTAACCAAGCCTAAGCCTGGCCACTACATCAGTCAGTGTTCACATTGCACGTTGCTCCATAAACATACTTATCTACGTTAAGATAAGATAAGATTTCGTTCGGATTTTTAACCCCGGAGGGTTAGCCACCCAGGATAACCCAAGAAAGTCAGTGCGTCATCGAGGACTGTCTAACTTATTTCCATTGGGGTCCTTAATCTTGTCCCCCAGGATGCGACCCACAACAGTCGACTAACACCCAGGTACCTATTTGCTGCTAGGTGAACAGGACAACAGGTGTAAGGAAACGTGTCGAAATGTTTCCACCCGCCGGGAATCGAACCCGGGCCCTCCGTGTGTGAAGCGGGAGTTTTAGCCACCAGGCCACCGGGCCTGGTGGGTTATAGATCTACTCAGGCTTCTAACTGCATTCCTATAACAATCATTTTCATTATTTACTTCTCCTAATATTATTCCTAATGCTAGACACATATATACCAAAGTTACATTCTATATTCTCCTTCTGGGTACTCTTCTTGGCTAACATATCAACTTTATCATGAACCCATTATGTACCTTTGTAATCTTTTGACTACCGCCCACAGGATGGGTATGGGGTGCATAATAAACATATTAAACTAAACTAACTCTTGAAGGAATAATCCAATATGTGATGGGATCCATAGCAATTGTACATTAATTCCTTTGTCCCTGATTTTTGAGTATCTATACCTGGCTTCTCCAATGAGCATGTTGCTGGAGTCGTTATGAATCAAGAGCCTTCAATGATGACATAGAATCAGTATTATTATTATAATCAAGGGGGAAGCGCTAAACCCGGAGGATTATACAGCATAGAATCAGTAATGATGTTAGCTTTAGCGCCATTAGGATTGCAAACAATTCAGTTTGCAGTGTCGACACCCAGTTGTTAATTCTTATGGCTGACTCGACAAATTTATTATCGTTCTTAACTAGGGAGGTGGCAACAAGAGCAGATGCAGCCCTGCCAGAAGACTCCTGTTTAGATCCATCAGTGTATATAACTTGTGATAACTTATTACTACCAGCTAGGCGAGAAATTTCTTCTTGAGCAGTTGCTTTAACAAGTGATTTAAGGAAGGGATTACTAGCAATGAGCTTCTTGGGAGGGACTTGTAGGTATGTGATATTAAATGAACACATCTTCCATGGAGGGGTGAAATGCTCTTGTTGTCTACAGTGATACAGTTCATGCAGGTTATAAAACTTAATGCAATTGCACGTTTTCACAATCCATTTAGATCTGTGTGTATTTACTTCTAGACATTTAGTAAGATTCATTGTGACAGTGTCTGGTTCATTTCTTAACATTCTAATACCGAGTACAGTGTTAATCTCAACAGTCCTATCACTGATACTAGAAATACCAAACTCCTTCCTCATATTAAGAACCTTTGTAGATTTGGGACAACGAAGAATAATTCTGAGAGCTTCATTTTGCATTAACTCCAAGGGTTGGAGAGAACTTTCTCTAGCTAATATCAACATGGGGAGCAGCATAATCAATTAAGGACCTAACATAGGCTATGCACATCATTCTCACGATTCTTACATTAGCACCATAGTTGGGGTTGTAGCCAGCAACATTAGCACCATAGTTGGGGTTGTAGCCAGCAACAGCTTTGAGAGCATTTAGCCTATCTTTGCATTTCTTATTTAGTTGTGGTATAGCGGATTTGTTAAAGGGTACATCTACACCAAGATATCTGTAAGTTTTAACGTAGCTAATGCTGTCACCCTGTAAATAGATGGGTAGGGGATGTCGTTTGCTTGTTAATATCTTTGTTTTAGAGGAAGATATTATGAGACTTAGTCGATTACAGATTGCTTGAACTTCATTAAGAATGGTGCTCATCTTATGCCCTGTTGTGTGGATCATGATATCATCAGCATAGCTTATAGTTATATGTTTAGGTGAGGAAAGTAGAGCATTTAGGAGAGCATTAATCAGAATATTAAATAGCATGGGACTAAGAACTCCTCCCTGCGGTGTACCTAAAGACATTTCTTTAGACTCACTTCTAAAGCCTTGATAAAGGATACTTATTTGACAGGTATCCTATTATCCAGCAGAGTAAGCTACCACCAATATTCATTTTGGCTAGTTCATTTAGTATAACGGTTCTGTTCTCAATATCAAATGCAGATTTTAGATCAAGAAAAGTGGTAAAACTAGTAGAGGTGTGTGCCGTGAGGAAGCTGGAAATACAGTTCTGCACACTTTTACCTTCCATGAACCCATAGAGGTAGGGGGAATGCTAGTGTCTCACCTGCCTTAAATATTCTATGGAGGGGGAACCTAGACATGGGATTGGGGGGGGGTCATCCTACTGTCACTGAAAACAACGGATATAGTCCCACTCTACAAAGGTGACAGTAAAGCAATACCAGAGAATTACAGACCGATAGCACTAACGTCCCACATCATAAAAGTCTTTGAAAGTATTCTAAGAAGCAAGATCGCCAACTACTTGGATACCCAACAGTTGCACAACCCTGGGCAGCATGGGTTTAGAGCAGGTCGCTTCTGCCTCTCACACCTACTGGACCACTATATGGTCTTGGATGCACTGACGGGTAAACAAAATGCAAAAGCCTGCAAAAGACTGCAAAAGCCGTCGACAAGTGCGATCATGGTGTAATGGCATACAAAATGCGTGATAAAAGGAAACAGGAAAAGTGGGTAGATGGATCTATAACTTCCAAACCAACCGTACACAGAGTAATAGTAAACAGAGTTAAATCAGCAGCGGCTGCAGTGAAAAGCTGTTCCACAAGGCACAGTACTCGCTCCCATCCTGTTCCTCGTCCTCGTATCTGACAGATGTAAACCACAGCAGTCTTACTTTGCTGATCATGCTAGAATTTGCCTGACAATATCATCCATTGAGGACACAGTAAATTTCCAAGCAGACATTAACCAAGTTTTTAATGGGCCTCAGAAAATATGAAGTTCATTGAGAAATTAATTTTAATTACTCAGATATGGAAAACTCGGGGAAATAAAAACTGGATCAGAGAATAAAACAAATTCAAACCACAAAATATAGCGAAAAACTAATGTGAAGGACCTGGCTGGGAGTAATAATGTCAGAGGATCTCACTTTGAAAGATCATAACAATGTATCTATCACATCTGCTAGGAAAATAATAGTATGAATGAGAACCTTCAGAACTAAGGATGCCAAGCCAATGATGATTCTCTTCAACTTGCTTGTTCTTTCTAGGCTGGAATATTCCTATAATCAATAACGGCGCCTTTCAAGGCAGGCGAAATTGCAGACCTGGAGAACAAAGAACTTTCACTGGCAAGGTCGGTACCTCGCTTTACAGGCATCCCGTGACCTGGTAGGCAATGCTCTAGTTTCACATATGTACAGTGTTCATGGTTTGATCCCCGGAAAGGGTGAAAACATAGGGTATTTCCTTACATCTGTTGTCCCGTTCGCCAGCAAGTAAATGGAGGGGTTGCACTGCTCAAAAAACACCGATGGGGATTTGAGGAAATGGAAGGCATGGAACATGATTGTGATAAAGAGAACTACTTTGTAGGTACAATTCAGTCCGGAAACATAAGTAGTCAATGGAGTGATGTATAACCCACCACTGAACTGCAGAGGCCAAGAGATGAGTACGACGAAAACAACAGGTGATGGTGGACACACTGG